TCTTGGAAGTATGGAAACATATAACAAGCCATCTAAAACAAAAGAAAAATTGCCAATTAAAAGATCAAAAGGAAGTTTAGGTAGTTTGAACATGATTATTGGGAAGAACAAAGGGCTTGGTAAAACATCAAGGGCATCTGCAAATGGGGGTTATTCTAAAAGGTATGGTGAAAGCAAATTAAGTGATGAGGACTTTTTGGCTTTGCCATTTCTTGGATCTCTCAATCTACCCATATTGGGGTTTGAAGGAATAAGAAGGAAAAAAGAGGAGGATTCTGGAGAAAAGATATTATTGCAAGTATTAGGGGCCTCTTACTTTTTCTGATATTACAGTGCTTCATTAAAATGTCAAAGGCACTCTTTATAAAAGAAGCTCTCTCCTTTTCCTTTTCTAGTCACTTAAACTTTACTTGACGTCTTACACAATGTATCTTGTCTGAGTATGCATTGCTTTTAAGTTTTTTTGAGTTATAAGTTAAAGACTAATTTGGCTGCTGTTGGCAATGCTGAAAGTGGAATTGAAGGTTCAAGTGAAGGAAGTGATGTAAACTCCCAAAACATAATTCCAATCTTGTTGAATTTGTTTCTTTATTTGTCAATTATATTTCCTTTTCTTTAGCATGTGTTGACAACCTATTGATGCAGAACATTTTGAAGTCATCTTTGACCCTAGAAGGACTATGCTTTTGTGGATTAGCCACTTTGTTGTAGTCAACATTTGCTCTGTAATATGTTTAATTATTTTACTAGGGGGCCTTTATAAGATTTGTTGCTATTTCCTTTTCCTTATCTATGGACATCCATTACTCTTGGAATTTTGGTTATGTAATTAGTGTTGTTTAGTGCACGCACCTTATCACCATCATCTTTCTCTCCCTCTAGTTTCATGACTCTTCTATTGATAATTGAACTACACTTGGGACTTCTTTGTTTTTGAATTTGTTCCATTATTCTTTTTAGGTAAAAATCTTATTTTCACTTAATTTCTTTAATCTCTATAGGATTCACAGATGAAGTTAGGAAGTGGGCAAGATTTTGTGGAAGGTTTGTTAACAACACTATTGATAGTTCACTTTTATAACATTTTCAGTTTGTTGGTAGTGATGCCCTTAACTGAGGGATTCAATAATGTCTCTTACATCAGAAGCATCTCAAAATGGCAGCTCTGCACGTGGTTCTTAAAATGGTGGACCAAATAATACATCTTATACAATAGTTAACCAAACAATGCTTGTTATGCCAATATCATCTGTTGGTGGTGTTGGAACTGTTCCTAGTCCCACGACAAACTTGCATATTGGAATGGATTGTTAGGGTGGTCCAGCTTCATTTGTTGCAATTCGTGGTAAGGTTCCTTCTACTCCAATGGTAGGAAGGATTGTTGCTGTTGAATCACGAGACAATGTTCAATCACAACTTTGGTTACAGGTCTTTACTCTTTATCCTATACTTTAGAAAGATAACACTTGCTTTTACTGTAGATCTCCAAAGAGCCTAAATCTTTATACCCTTATTCTCTACTCCAATGATTTGTTGAATTTGAAATTGAATTCACTATATTTACCACCATGGTTTTTCTAAGTTGCAAATGCATGCCACCAATGATGAACTATTTAACTTTTTTTTCCTACTAATTTGAATAGATAATGCCCTTGCAAGCACTAATAATTACTCCCTCTGTACCACAATAATTATCCTTTTTTGACTATTTTAGTATATAATTTTACTTAAATTGCCCGTAAGAAAGAGATAATAAGGAGAAACTTCTTTTGATGGGATGGCGATTAGAATGATATGATAACAATTGGGTTAAATTAGAAAAAAATATTTGTCTTCCTTAAAATATAAAAAAATAAGAATTAGTTTGGGACAAATTTTGAGTAAAAACAAATGGAGTATGTGTTATATGTAATGTCACGCCCCAACACTGAGAGCAAAACAAATGCCATACACTTGTGAAAGGGTCCCACAAATGCACAAGACTTAGAAGCTACTTTATTCATATTTGGCAATCCACTAAACTAAGATCCACAATCTTATAATAAAATCTATCTTGATAACCAATGTTTAACGAGGCCAAAAGTGTACAAAATTTATACAACTCCATTAATAAGGTCATAACTATCTCAAGGGGATCTAGTCTACAAAAGGACGATCTATCTTCCATCATCTATGTCCAAAAATATATGTGACTAGCAGCCTAACTTTGCCATAATCTGAATCCAAAATACAAACAGCTAGCCTTCAAGTTCATCACTCCCCTTGGTTTCCCATGTCTTGGGTCTCACTACCTAAAATGGTGGACAAGGAAAAACTACGTAAGATAACTCAATAAGTAAAAATATGGATGGTCTTTAATTAAAGTTATAGCATGCGAACAAGTGTAATCAAGTATTAAGAAAAATGGTACAAGTACAGGAATGAAATAGATATTTCCTCTATAGGTCATAGTCAACGTTTATAAACCTCCCATTGGCGGGCACAGTAATAACTAGTGTACTATTCCACTGCTAGGAATAATATGACAAACCAGTTTCCAAGAAAACATGTCGACATGTGCTAGCATTTATAAACTTCCCCACTAGCAGGCACAATAAAATATGACTGTATTGGAGACTAAACCAGGCAGGAGTTACAGGAAAATCCATAATTTACAAACTAATTTCAAGTTATCAAAATAGTTCAGTAAACTCCAAGTAGGCACGCTTAATCAATAAAAACAATAATAATTTCATTTCAAATCAATTATGCTCATTTTTGTATAAAATAGGTTTAGTCCTGCCACCACTTCAAAAATAGATAAAAATTATACTTTTAAAACCTTTACCTTAAAATCCAAAGGAATTTACCATAGTTTTACTTACCTCACCTTATAGGTACACGATAATCAAGAACTTAAGATCTCAAGACGATGAAGGTGATTTAGAACTTAAGCCACAATCAAAGAACAAACAAGATTACAACATGCCACAATCAAAGAACAAACAAGATTACAACATACCCCATTTAACTAAATCAGTTTTTAATCCCAGTATCAAGTTTCTAACCAAAGAAACAACTTTTTCCTATGCCTCTCGGTCACTTTTACCCATTAAAGTCTTATTAATATATGGATATATATATATATCCCTATATATAATCATACTTAAAATAAGCCTAAAATAGCACCAAAATACCCTAAATATGGTGGGTTTACAAGGCAGATTTATTAGACAAAACAAAGTGGAAAAATATGAGAAACCAAGCTCAAATCTATCCCAAAACAACAACACAAAAGTTGGGTAGTAAGGTGGGGATTTTTGCTATTTAAAACAATGGATTAATTAAAAAATTAGTCTATTAACTATCAACTTGATTTCATTTTAGTCTAGAAAGTATGTTTTATTTCTAAGTGGTCTATAAACTTTGGAAAATATTTTAGAATGGTCTACCGTACAAGATTTTCGTTAGTTTTAATGGAAGAATCAACTTAGAATTAAAATAGAACAATCCTCTAAGTTTTAAAAAGAGACACAATAATCCTAATAAAATATAATGAATCAAGGAATACTCTATAGAGATAGATTAGTTAGAATTTGTAATAAAATTGAGAAACTAGCTCAATTCGAAAAGAGAAACCTAGCAAACTTAGAAAGAGAAGCTCTAGAAGTAAGTATTGAAAATACAATGAGAGTTAGTACTCTTAATTACAAAATAAGAACAAAAAAAGAAAGAATAAATACATTAAGAAATATAATTAATACACTTCTATTAGCATGAGCAATGAATAAATAAATCAAATTAACATGTATTTACTCAATACATTAGGAAAAAGTATAATTGATCTAGAAGATACAATTATCATATATAATATTCTAAAAATAGAAACAATTAATGAAAATATCCTAAGAAGAATTAAAGAAATGGGAAAATCCTTTCTCAAGAATTTGATTCTATTAAAGAAAGAATAAATAATGCCAAAAACTCTAGAAATTTGAAAGAAATAAAAGAAGAAATAAGGTCTATTAAAGACTCAAAGACTTTGATATCTCGAGTAAAAGAGATAGAAATCAAAATAGAAGAAATTTTTAAGACATTAAAAGCAATTGCTGAAAAATTTGCAATAAAAGTTTAAAAATGTATAATAGAATTATTCCATAACTAGAAAGTGATATAAATAAAAATTTTTATAAGATCTAGACACAACTCAAAGCTCTACAAGATACTATAATATCAGTCTGTAGTAGACAAAATATTATAGATAGAAATGAAGGATTTAAAATAATCCCGAATATTTTCACAAAAAAGCCTAAATCAAAAGGGATAACAATTTTCATGTTAAAAACCCAAGAAGAAAAGTTGAAAGAACTTGAACAAAAATTCTTAAAATAAGAAAATGTAGAAGAACTAGATAATATGTGCAGACAAATTACTATAACTACTAAACAATTAGAAAGTGTGAAAATGAATACCCAAAAGGAGGAAATAGAAGAGGAGAGTGAAGAAGAAAAGGATGAAACACATCCTAATATAACTCCAACAGAATTTCCAGTGCCACTTGGAGTAGAATCTAGCATAAGCCAAAGCTATAGAAAAAATAGAAATCTAACACATGAAGTAATATATGATAAAAAGAGTAAAAGATTTGGGAATCAATCTAGACTTGAAACACTAGTTAGAATCAAAGAACAAATAATTAGTACTAATGGTATTTGGTTAGATCTAGATTGTGTTATCGACCCAGAGAAGGTCATTAGTGACTAGGCCCAAGCCACTTGGAAAGCCGTAGCAAACAAAAATTGGAATGCCTTACAAACAGTTTAGATTTATTAAAGTCACCTTTAAAGGGATAGTTCACGAGATTTGCTAGTCTAAATGAAAAAGACAGTAATATTATTAGAAGTGAAAATCTTGCTTCGAAA